AAACAAAACCGAAGTATTAGAGCTCTTCTTTTCCTTCATGTTCATATTTGTTCCCACCCTTGGTCAGTGGAAGTGATTTGTTAATTCCTTGAGGCTTACTCAGCTGTGACAAGATGGTTCAGTATGGAAAGACTTTCCCATCTTCCCACTGAACTGCGTAAATGAAGATTCCAATACCATAACCTTCTATATTGTTAATTTAATAGTAGTGACGAAGCAGAACCTTGTAGCACTGAAATAAATCCACAAAGGCTTCTCCAGTTGCTGCTGTTGCCACCACTGCTACTGTAACCCCACCATGTTCCTTTCCATGCAGTTCTGTGCTGCCAGTTGGTTACGTAAAGTGTTTTTATATGAAACACATTTTGGTGAAGTCAGTGGAATGTCCAATAAGTGCTCCAAATTAAATCTTGTGTCACTCTGGGAGTCTACAAGTGTGCAAAAAAACAATTCTTCAGCTTTAAGGATGACGTATGGCTCATAGTGCGCCAGAAGCAGCCTTCTGATGTACCAAGTATTTTTTTAAGCAAGCTGTGTCTGAGAAAACCTAATCAAAACTTACTTTAAAAAATATTTTTACATTACGCATTTCATTTTCAATGCTTTAATCAGCTTAAAAAATCTTGCAAGTTAAACATTGATATTTTGCTTCAATCTAGTGCCCTCAGAAGTCACAAAAAAGAGTTCTTTACAACAGAGGGCCTCTTTCAACCAGATCAGATTTCTGCCTTCAACAGTCTGAGTCAGAGAGAAAAAAAGATTTGTGAGTCAGTGTTACTTCCTGTAATCCAAAACTGGCAGAAAGGAAAGCAGACCCCACAGACAGAGAAACCAACAGGAAAAAAAAAAAAAGGTAGATTCTGGAGTAGATTTTTAAAATGTGCACTATGTGTTGAACATATTTGTTTATTTTGTCCCATTACTGTGCTTGCTCCAGCAAGACAGTGTTCAATTGAAAGAGCAGCTGGATATCTGACTGATGCAGAATTTCATAAATATTCCCACAGATGCTTGATCTTATCTCTTTTTGTGATGCGCTGACTCTGCATGTTTCTTCAGATTCAGTCTATATGTTTCACAATTTTTTCTCAGCTTTTTTCATTGACATTAGATTAAAATATGACTTGAACACGTCAGTCTAAACCTCCTTTCAATTTATGTGAACTTATCTTTAGCCAAGACTAATATCTCATTACTAAAACAGACCATATTATATATGGAAGGTGAAGACCACAGTGGTGCCTGTGGTCATCAGGGCCCTCGGGGCAGTAACCCCCAAACTGGAGCAGTGGCTACAACAGATCAGACATCTCAGTCCAGAAATGTGCAGTCCTTGCACAGCCAAGATACTGCGCAGAACCCTCAAGCTCCCAGGCCTCTGGTAGAGGACCCGAGCTCAGAGGATAAGAACCACCCCGCGGTGGATGAGAAAAAATCCAAATGTGTATCAAATTTTATATATATATATATATATATATATATATATATATATATATATCTATATATATATATATATATATATATATATATATATATATATATATATATATATATATATATATATATATATATATATATATATATATATATATATATATATATATACTTGACAACCTGTCAGTATGGTGCAAAGCCTTTCATCAATTTTGCTCTACTTAATTAAGAAATATATATTTCATCTCCGATATAGTCCAGTAGAGTGGTATAATTCACACAATTCTAAATAATTTAATAATAAAATTCCATGTTGGATAACCTCTAATTTGTTTATGATCCCATCTCATCAAGTATTTATTCCACGTTTAGTGTTTCTCCTCATCAAATTTAATGTAGTTTACAATAAAATTTCAAACTGGGTGGTCTATCATTGTTTATGATCCCATCAGATGCCATCTGAACCATAGACTTTGAAATTCATGTTGTTTATTGTGATTCAATGTCATCTAATCTATACTATATCAGTATGTGCAAAATAATGCAATCTTATCTCCTCTTTGGTTTATCCAGATTCATCCAGATTGTATGCTATTTTGTTTGATCTCCTTCCTCCATTCCTCCTCATATTTACTCTCTTCTGTTTGACTAAGGTCTAGCTGTAAAGGTAACTAGGGAATTTCAAATCCCTCAGTGTCTCTAACAACACTTTAAAGCTTTTTCTAAGGGATATATTAATCTCTAATCAGCACTCTGTCTTCCTTGTGGAATAGAGGTAGAAAACCTCCAAAGGTAGAAGTTCATGAAGTTTTGATACTTAAACCATGTCAAAATGACCCCTTTTGATGCAAAGCAGCAGCAGCAGCAGCAGCAGCTTTGGTATACCCAGGACTACTTTTTGTCACTTGCCAGTCATAAAACTGAGTGCACAACAATGCACCCAGCTCAAATTATGGAATAGTGCAACATATCTCAATGTTAATGTGCTCACATTGTTATGAACTTTAATATCTCCATAAGTCACTTTATCAGCATATTACCACTTCCACAAATTGTGAGAAAACGTTTGTTTTTCAAAACATGTATAAAGTTTCTATATATGAAATTGATTCAGATTCCAAATCTAAATATTCAGAGTTGTTGTTCTTAAATTTAACTCTATGTTGAAAAAAAAAAAAAAAGCAGAGGTGGATCAGCTCAACAACCCTAGCATCTGTCTGACTGTTACATACAGGAAATGCTGTGGTGCTGCTTGTGGTTAATGAGGCGGTGATACAAGCTGAGCAAACAAAAGACTGTTAGTCATCAGGTTCAAGTGCCATTTGGATTTAAAACATGTTGCAATACATAAGCAATAATCAGACTCACCATCTTCAGCAAACAACTGATTCCATGTGTGATTTAGAAAAAGATACCGTTCTTCGGAGTCATATAAGATAAATCAAAACTTGACAACCTGTCAGTATGGTGCAAAGCCATATTCTGGTGAAACTGACTAAAAGAAAAGTCAGTTTCACCGGAATATGGCTATGGATCCTGGACAGACATTCCTTTGTAAGTTCAAAATCTTGCTGCTAATAAATATTTTCCTCTAATGTAAGTAATCTGGAAAAAACAGACCAAAATCACAAGTAAAAGGCATGCTTGCTTTGTTTCTATTTGTCCAAATAAATGCAATTACAAAATCCAATTCAGCAATTACTAATCAGGCATATGTCAAGGAGTATCTAAAGGTTAGGATAACATTATGCATGTGACTATGTGAGTGTGACAGATTTTTTTTCTGCATTTCCTCATTTGCTGCTAAACATAGTGTCATAAAAAAATAAGCATCACAGAGTAAAATAGTTTCAATAATGAAACAGTGACCTTAAATGGTCAATGACAAACGAACACGCGCACACACACGCACATGCACGCACACGCACGCACACGCACTCTACAGAGAACTACAATTTATTTCTGCAAGGTGCAAAGAGGTGACACTTTACAGAACAAATTATTTCACAAGTTTAAAGGATAAGTATTTATATAAACAAAGTAATGCAAAATTATTAGTGTTTTTAAAGGGGGAAAATCCCTTCCTTTGTTGATTTTGACTGTGTGCCTCATAAGCAAGGCCAAATGCTGTTTGTGGCCCAGAGTAGAGTTCCTTTTGGGGGTTCTCTTCCAACTACACTCAACATAGGATGAAGGAAGTTTTAATGTTTAGTTCAAAGGCAAATAAACCAGACTATTACTCACTGACCTCTACCAACAAACAGTGACAGTGTGTTCATGAACAAATTAACAAACCAGCAACTTGCAACTTTCAAATTCTAAAGATGGTTTAATGTGCGAAGTAAATCACTGGTGGTGCATTTGAGCATATTCATTCCAAAAAATTGTCATTTCATCAATTATGCTGCCATTCCAGTAAAAAAATATATAAACTCGTCAACTCCATTACCATTGTTTATCAATTAATTTGTCCTGGTAGCTTTAAATCGTGACAATACATAGTTTAATTTAATTGTGTATTATTTTACTGAATATTCTTCATTTCATCTTACTTGCACTGATTGCTGTTTTGACCCCAGTTTGGATCATTTTATGTTTTATTTTTTTAAATACAACTTATGTCTCCTGATCAAACTAAAATAAATCTAATGTGTGAAATATACTTAGCAAAGTCACATAACCTCTTTCCTTATTTGCAGGTCAAAAGCAAATAGAGAAAAAAATACTTTAAATGAACCGATACCTGGTTCATGTAGAATGTCATATGGTTGGAGGAACCTTTTTGAAAGAGACAAAAGTCACAAATGAAATGATGGTCAAAAAGTATAAAAGCTCAAAGTTGCAACCTTGAGCTGTTGTGCAAATTCAAGTGGTCTTGGACCCATAGGCCAGCAAGGCCCCATGTAGAGACAAAGTCTGCTTATAATTTGGGTGAGTTCTATATAGGTGTTTAAAGTGTAAATAGAGTGATTTTATTCTTTTTATTACTAGTGTCAAATAAATCAGATTGTTTTTAACTGAAAAGCTGAACCGGCAAATCAATAAAAGTTTCAGCCTTATATGGCTTAACATATTTAAGGTCAGTAGTTAATTACCCAAAATAGCAGTGACGCCACATGCTGCAGTTAAAATAAGAGAAATCCTGTGACTTCTGGGCTACTACTCTGCATACTTTCCCCAGGAATGGAATGCTGCTGCTCCCAAAGGCAGACGGAGGGGGTGGGGAGGGGGGCGTCGCTGTTTTCCCTCCGTTAAAGCACATTTTTGAATACCTTGTAGTTCAAACCTGCCCATGAAAGTGTCCGCTCCCAGAACTGGCTGCTCGTCTGGCGGACAGAGCAAGTACAGCAAGTAAACTGCGAAAGTGTCTCCTGGCAAAGCGACTTTGATTTGTTTTGTAAAGTAAGCAAAAGCGGTTGCCAGCAGTATCTGTCTTCTATTTCTGGCCTTCCCCCAGCCCCGGGCCCCCCTCCCTAGACTGACGTCAGCAGAAAGTTATTTTCATGAATGGAGGGGGCGGTCACGAGGAATCGGTGACGTGAGCGCTTGCGGAAGCAGAGCGTGGAATGTTGGTACATTGTTGTTGTTTTGTAGTTAATTCAGTACGAGGATACACCACTACCCTCCTGCCGCGTCTCGCCGACTGGGTCAACTCACTTCGCCGCTTGGATAGGAAACTTACTCCGCCACCTTTACGCATCCCCGTCAACACATATCCGCGTTCACAGAGGTATGGTTGTTTTTTCTTTTTCTTTTTTTTTCTTTTCTTTTTGCTCTTCTAGAATATGTTTTGACATTCCTTAGAAAATTGCTGAAATCTGTCACGCTGATGTACAGGCGCAGACACGCTGGTGTTGGATTCAGTGGCCGGTTAGGAAGCTCAACGGTAGTGGTTCTGGAAGTTTATGTTGACTTTGTGGATTGTTTGAGCCGAGAGGACACGTGTTGGTGCTGGAGAAAAGAAAATAGTGCACAGAAAGTGATTGCATTTGAAGTGAGAAAATTACCAGAACTGCTGAGGATGTTTTCCCTCTTTTTTTATTATTATTATTTTGTTAAATTACAGTCATAAAAATGACTTAAATTTATTGTCCTTTAGGTTTTATTGTAAACTAATTTGCATGTCTGAAGCCTATGAAAATATTAAAAATAGCCTCTAAAAGCATTGCGTCAAAGCTACTCACTTAAAAATGACAAGACCTACAAATTAAAAACACTTAAATTTTTGATAATGGCCGTGCTTTTCAATAAAAAAATATCGCCAGTCGGATCAGGGTTTTAAGAAAAATGGAAGTGAAATTATCCAAGAATTTCCACCTGTCTCTGCTGAAACTATTCTTCACAACCTCAATGGTTGTATCTGACACTCAGCCCTCGATAATAGGTCTCTAGGATGCAAAATGCCAGCCTACGCTTTTTGACATCGGAATCAACACGTGGTCTGCATTACAGACATGTGGGAGAAAGGGCACCAGAGACCACCGGGGCTGACTAGTCCATTGCAGGAGGGAGGAGGGGTAGGAAGGCGCAAATTTCCACAAACAATAAATCACTCAAATGAAACAAGTGCCGTTATTTTATCTCTTGCTTTATTACAATTTCTGGGGGACAGAAATTGTAATTTCTTGGGCCAAGATAAGGGAGAGATCATGTTTGGGCCAATGACACAATGGCACATGATTCTCATTACTTCTGCATTATCTTCTGCATAACATTTTGGACTTGTGGTCCAGTGATTAATAAATGGAAAATATTTGTCTCTCAATGGTTTATTCCACTGAGATCTGCCACAGATTCAAAGCCAGGAGGATGTTCTGATTCACTTTTGTTTCTGGTGGGCGCCTTTCAGCCTGGAGGAGGGAGGGGGTAGCGTGTGTATTGCGCTGTCATAAGGTTAACATGTGGCTCAGTCACCAAAGTGATGATGTGTTTTTTTGGAGGCAGAACTTGCAACAGCTGACTCATTGTGCCACCAAAGCACTTGAGGAGAAGTCCCCCCCCCAACCATATATATAATATATATATATATATATATATATATATATATATATATATATATATATATATATATATATATATATATATATATATATATAATGAAATCATTACCTCTGATTGCACAAGGCATTGAGGTGAAATGTTGTGAAAGTGAAATATTTGTGGTCACTTATGGTATGATTCACATGGAACATGTTCACTGTGATGTGTTTTGCTCCTCTTAATGGAATAAAAGAAGTTTTGTTGATAATTACCTTTCAACATCATGCATTTTTAATACTGTTGGAGGTGCAAAGTGGGATATAAACAGGAAAAATAAGATAATTGAATGAAGATGTGTTTTTCTTCCTGAAACAGTTCTCTCTGCCACCTAAAATTGCAAACAGAATCGTTTTTCTATGCTTTTCCTCTTAAAGTCCTAAAAGGTTCCTTTCAACTAACAAGCTTGTAATGTTTCAACGGCCTCAGGTTGTTCAGGGACCCGTGGGCTAATTTCCACCACTGCCCCATTAATGTCAAAGGGTGTGGTAATACATCCAGCTCACGTCCAACTTGTAATTGTGAGAACAAGAACAAAATCTATTAATTCTATTTTTTAAATTTATTTATCTTTTTGCTTTTATAAACAAAAGTTTTAAAAAATCATGGGCCTTAACAAACAAATATGCAATTAGGGTAAAAATAAATTGATTTAAAGAATCTCTGGTTTATTTTTGGACAATTTCTTTCTTTGAGGAATATCTGTTTGGTGTAGGATTTTCCTGTTTATGTTAAAGAGACTATTTTAGGTTTGATCTAGAGGTGATCAATGTGTTAACAGGAAACGTCAGTGCTGATAGCTAAACTATTGGCCAGCTCAGTATTCTTGCATCACTTATAAATTGTTCCTATGTTACTATGTTGTCACTCCTACGGTTATTTTTTTTTCCAAAGAGCATAAAAAAATTGCCATTTAAATTATTTAAAGTTTAAGTAGGCCTCATCAGTACTTTTACCCATGTTGCTCGCCAACCAAATGAGGAATAACTTAAGCACTTTATCAAAGTGGTCTTGAAAATAAAACTTTCAAACTGATAGGTCAAGGTCAAAGCAGTCATCTTCATGTCCAGGCCAGAGAGTTTTTTGCACCTTCCTAATTTCTCATTTATGCCGAGCATGTTTTTGTTTTGCTGTCAGAGTTTGCCACAGCTTCTTTTGAAGGTAACTAATGAGCCCGAACTAATCCCTTAAAAGGAGAGTTAAGATATATTTAAACAGAGTTTTACTGAACAGACATGAGCAGAGAGTTATGTACCAGCAGGACATAACTCTCTTTTATTTTGCTTAACAGATCAGATTTTCTTTAAAGTTCTAGCTAAGCAATGCTAGGCCAAAAGCAAAATAAACTTTTACCATCTTAAAAAAAAACCTCAACCTCAAAAATGGTGTAGCAGTTTCAGAGAATTACTATTATTTTATCAATCATTAAACTGCTGTCTTGTTTCACTTTTTCTTTATGGCGATATTATGTTTCTCAACTTGACCTGCGAAATATTCACTGCTATTTTAAATTATTTCCCCCAGTTACTGGGGGACCCTCAGAAGCCACATGTGACGCATATGCTGCGGGCTGATTCTGGGTTTTATCTATTTTGAGGCATCTTTCTTTGAGTGCCTCAAATAGTGGCTTCTAACTGCTCTGGTGAGAATAAAAGGTGATCAGCAGGGCATACAATTAATCTAAAACATTCAAAGTGGCAGTCTTTTTATTGCTTTAAAAGATGCAGAAAAACCTGTCAACTATTCACTACATTTAATGTATGAAACCTTGCTCATGATTATTTAATGCTCACTCATATTTAATGTGAGTGTAAAAAAAGTGAATAGAAGTGCGTGTTTCCTCCCTGCATTCCTAACATTTCTATCCCAGTGTCTGGGAGAATATCTTTTCCGTGTGTCCTCCTCCCTTTCCGCACAAAGGTTCCGTCTGATCGTAGCAACTATTTCCAAAGTTCTCTGTACTTTTCCTTCCTCTCTGTGAAACAACGGGATTTTCCAGGAAACGTCAGATCAGGAGGGTGTGATTCCCTGCCGCTGGTCGTCGCTTTTACCCGTAAACAGCATGACTCACCATGCAGTTATGCTCTCCGTTTCCTTTGCATAACATCCCACCAAATGTGCTGTGCTGGAGAAACAGTAGAGTGCCACGCACGTCAGTCGGGAGTAAAAATCTCCTTGCATTCTTGAATAAGTGTGGGAAAAGCTTTCGTAGAAGAGTCTAGACAAATATGTTTTCTGTTTACTTCAGACTTAAAAAAAGAACAAAGACAAGTCAGCTCTTTTTTAGCTCCAGAATATGAGCTCATAACTCTTTAGATAAGTTTTAAGGAGGCGACTGGGCCCCACAGTATCATGCTGTAACCAAGATTTGGTAATAGTTGGTGTCACTGATCATGTGGAAAAGTTTACTGAACCTCTCTTTGAATCAAGTTGTTTTGGATTAATTTGTCTTGTTTCCATTTGCCTTCTTGTGCTAATGTTAAGTGCTGGCTTTTTGATGTTACAAGATTGTAAGTGTCTCTTCCTTCTAATAAACTGCATTTAAAAAAAAAAAATTATTTACTGGTACTTCAAATTTGGAATTGAGATTGTTCTAGTATACCTGTAAATAGTCTGAACAAACCCAGCTGATGATTTCATTGATTTATAAACTTCCTTTTAAATTATGTAAAATGATTACATGTCTATATGTATTTACATAGAAATCATGAAATACTGCAATCTGTTGCACTAACTGATATTCTGATGACTGTGAAACAATATGTTGTGTAGCTCTGTCAATCTTATATTAAAAGCAAATGAAGATTCTGGCTGAAATTGGCAAGATCAGTTGATTATCTGCAGAGTAACAAGTCCTGTGCTGAATGATCTAAAAGAGCACTCAGAGGAAGAAGCCATGACTCCAAAAGTGGCACAAAAAAAGACAAATTGCAGTTGCAAATACAGGAAGTATGGCTTTTTGATTCTGTGTTGAAATTAAAATTTAATATGTCTAACCTTCCAAAATTAAATAAATGAAATAAATAATCTGCCAAGAAAATCTTGCTCTGGCATTACCAAAAATTTTTTTTGGCAATGCCAGAATTCCAATAACAGAAAACATTTAAGCTGATTTTTTATCAGTCATCTGGGGGGACAAAGTTTTAGTTATACATTTAAAAGTTTAAACAGATTCACTAAGAATGTGCCCAGCTCTCTCTAGTGCTGCTGAGTAAAAGTTATCCTTAGCTATTAGTCATGAGACATGCTTCTGCAGTGATGAAACATATGGACTCTGAGAGTTAAAAGTATTGTTTATGTTTCCTTCCTCAAAGAGTGATGGTGAAGTGTTTACTTGCACACATGTGGAAAGGCTGCGGGTGATTTGTTTGGGCAAGCAGTGGATGTGAGACCCTTCTGAATTCCAGACATTTTGGAATTTTTGCAACCATTATGCTCAGGGTGGTTATATTGTGAGCTCTACCTCATACACGAGTACATCACAAAACATATTTCACAATACATGCTTTCTCTCTTCCAAGAAGATTTATCCATATGCATGTTAGGGTTTGCACATGTGTGCTCAGTCAGGAAAGCAATTTAGTTTTTAGTTGTTGATTTTTTTTTTTACCCGCCATCTGCGGCTTTGCTTTGAGGAATTTACTCAGACTGCCTTATGGAAAACCTGATCTAAGAAGCCATGTTTTGTTTGTGTCTCGTCTTTATGAGTGGATTTGGTTGTGTGACATAATTGCCACTTTCCCTCTGAGGAAACCTGATTATGAAAACCATACCAGAGTGCAAGTTGCAAAAGAATTTCAGGGCAACAACTCGGATTCTGGTCGGAGGCCCCTTTTGAAGAAGGGGAGGCCCTACGCCACTTTTCCAAGACTTTCAAGGCAACAAATGTTACAAGGGATCCCTTTTTACACAATACTATTCAAAATTGTCTTGCTCCAGACCAATTTCTTTCAGGAAACACTTTATTTTATTCCTCCGTCAATATTTAAAGCTTCTAAAATATCAATAATGCAATGCTCTGTTAATGAGACATTAGACCAGATAGTTCTCAGAACTCTAAACAGATGTTTGCACACACATAGTTTAGCATCTTTCATGCATTTTGCTTCTGTTTATTTTCCGCTTAACTATTCTAAAGGAAGTTCTTGATGTTTCAGAGTAGCGCGGTTGTTTTTCAGTTTCATTTCTATGCAGTTTTCAACCGCATTTTACAAACTCCTGAATTAGCATAGACCTATTAATAGCCTAAAATGTGAAAACATGATAAATATCACGAAGTGAGCCCCCTAGCACCTAAAACGCTTTTTTCTGCTGAAAGCTACATTTCAAAGTGCAGTAGAGGATATTTGTTCTCTCTCTGAAGTATCACTTATCACATACTCTCCTAGATTTGTTTAGTTGGCAGAATTTTATGTCAGCAGTGTGAGCTAAAAATATCCACTAGAGTTAAATAAGGGCATGGAGCAGTTCAGGAAAGCCCAATGTAAGAGGATCCAACCGGAGAGAGACGGCCTTAAATCGATAGACTACATTGTCTCGCAACAAAAATACATCACTGACTGTAAAGGAAACTATTTCCCTGTGACATTCTCCCTCCTGGAATTTTCCACCGCTGTACTCCTCTATAAAGTTCAGCATAACTGCAAATGTTATACTGATGTGGGATGAAAGAGTAGAGCAGTGCAGCCTGACAGTAGACCCACAGACACCATACTAAACGATTAAACAACTCTGCAAAAGATGAGATACAAGCTAACTGGTAAAATTAAGAGGAATATCACAGAAGCTAAGTCTAAGAGAGAGTGTTATGATCAGATTTAAGCAAGTTTGAGTTTTTTGTTAACACTATCTAAGGGCCATACTGCGGTTATGAATGAGAGTTGTTTACCCTTTTGCTGACCATGTGACTCACGCTCCCACGCCCATTCACAGGGTGTTTCCATGGTAGCTGTGGAGCATGGAACAGTGAACTCCCAGTCAGGCTGGTCTGCAGGTTCTGAAATGGAGCCTTGGGGGGATGGATGTGTGCCACACTTGCTCAGTTTTTTCTCCCCTTTTCTTTTTCTTGTTCTTTAGTCATAAGAGCAGCCTGAGAAACCTGTTTCGCTGTATAATAAGTGCCACGGGGGCTTAAAAAAAACAGCTCTGGCAGACACAGAAAGTTTAAATCTTTAGAGTTCTGTGAAAGACAAACCTGGTGGGGCTTAGCTGTTTTATTTCTGCTTGTTCTAATGAACAAGTTGGGCTCACATCACTCTTAGAAAAGACAAACGCTGTCAAAAACTGATGAGGTTAACGTGGAGGCTTGCTGCCATCTGCTGGAATGTGTAGAAAAGCTACTGTCAAAATTGTTACAATGTGAAAAAAAGATGTAATGAACTATGGAGACCTAGTCTTCGGTAAAGCTTATAGTGAGATTGGGGCATTTGTCAGTCTTTACTCAATAAAGTGAAATTACCAAATTTCAATTAACCTAGTCTATACATACATGAAAAATAGTTTATAAACATATAAGATTTTATATGAACAGGTGTTGCTTTTAGCCAATGCGATAGGTTTTGCTGATGAAGAGCAATTAAATGTTTTTTAGACTTGTATAGGTGTTATATTAGAATTTTATAGTTATATAAAATCAGATATATAAATGAATAAGCTTTATTTCCAAAAGTAAATAATTGTATGTTGTTCAGATGTTTAGCAATAGTTTAGCTCATTATTCTAAAACAAATGGCATCAAAAACTGGTGATTTTGACCATTCCAGAACAGGTTTAATTATAAGGAGTGAGATTTGTCTGGGCAGAGTGAGAAATGGAAAGAAAATCTATATTCTCAGTCCAAATGAATCAAATTTGGCAACTCTGAAAATTGTCCATTGACAAAAGTGGAATGGGTAGCTGGTACCGATAAGGTTAACGAAATGTGTTGCCAATCACCTTTAACATGTTGCTCTCCAGCTAGTTGAAGTTAAATAGTTTGTTTTTATCCATTTCATTTCCAGTGCAACTTCTGTGAGGTTCTGGTCAGTTTTCTGCATGCAGGGAATGACGACTCATTTCAAGACAAGCAAAGCTTTAAGGGTAAGCCTCATGAATTTAAGAACTGTTTTGTAGAATTACGTTTGCATGTGGAGTTGTTCTTTATTCACTTCCTACCTCCGTCAGGTCAAGAAGGAGACGGGCGAGAATGCCCCGGCGCTTAGTGACGATGAGTTGGTGGCCATGTCAGTGCGGGAGCTAAACCAGCACCTGCGTGGACTGACGAAGGAAGATGTCGTCCGGCTGAAGCAGCGGCGACGGACCCTGAAGAACCGAGGCTATGCAGCCAGCTGTCGCATCAAGCGTGTCACCCAGAAGGAAGAGCTGGAGAGACAAAAGACAGAGCTGCAGCAGGAGGTGGACAAGCTGGCCAGAGAGAATGCCAGCATGAGGCTGGAGCTGGATGCGCTGCGAGCTAAGTACGAGGCCTTACAGTGTTTCGCCAGGACTGTAACCAGGGGGCCAATCTCACCCGGCAAAGTGGCCACCACCAGCGTCATCACCATTGTCAAGTCCGCTAACCACAACACCAGCCCTACTCCATTCTCAGCTCCCTCCTAGTGCTGACAAGACTGGGCTTTCCCTTCTTTTGCCTGGTCTTTGCTGGCTCTGATGCATCCTGAACCCAGTCATCCTCTACTGAGAGGATCCTCAGTAGTTTGTTAGATTGAAGGATTGGGTGCCAAGCTCTGTCACGTAATGCTGCATTCACAGTTCTGTCTCCGTTCGCCTGCCTCTTACACAATCTATACTGTCTGCACACTGTTCACAACTCCATCCCAACCCCCAGCACCGGCAGGGTATTGGGCCTCTGTGACCCTACCTCTGTGACTGATGGTAGAGGTTTATTACAATCTGTCTTACCGGTGTAATACTTGATGCTGCGGAACATAAAATACGAATGATTTGACTTCATGGGAGTATAGTTATTTGATATTTGTGTAAATTTTCATAAACATTGTCAATTTTGAAGCTGTTGCCTTAAAGATCTATAAATAATCAACTAACATGCTGTTCAGCACAATAAGGTGTTAAATTTCCCAGGATTAAAATCTAGAAGTTTCTCAATAGTTTACAGTGATAAAAGACGTGGATGAAATTGAAGTTTTCTCAGATTTTCATTTGTTCTTGAGCTTGTTTAGCTTATGCTAATCTATAATAGAAGCTGTTAAGGGGAAAACTGACAAACATATATTTGTGTTTCATGTTAGGAAAACCCTGGTGCCGGTAACAGTAATTGGAAAGCATTGCCAAATCTAGAGGATATCTCCTCCATGTTTGCTTCAATTATGAAACATACCTAAAGGTCCTAATTTGTTAATCATTTTAGATTATTTTGTCAAAAAGGTTAAAAGATATTAAAGGCATTGTAAAGTTTGTTTGGGAAGTGTTGGATGTAATTCTGATGGCTATTTTATGGGCCCCTGTCTTTTTTTTGGTAACATTAACAGGTTTTAAGCCTTTTTGCAACTCTTCTTACAACTTTTTACATTTGAATGTGCTTGGAAAGCAGATTGAGCAAAATTTTCTTGAAATAATAGAACTTACTTTATTATAGCACTTATGACTGTAACAATACAGTATAAAGTAAATTACAAGAAGCAACAATGTACCAAAAATTATTCTTCTATGTACTGGGGCTTAAATGTGTGATGACGATGTGATGGGAATATTTAGTGAAAGTCTAAATTTAGGAAGGATGGTATACTTTGCTGCACTTGCAATGTTTGGTGGGTAATCCATATTGGATATAGTGATAATGAAAGTAGTCCTTACAAAAATCAACTTTCTTCCTGTATATTACAGATTAAAGGTGACAAATCCTCTGCTTGTAATGTTGTCACTTAAATAAACTCCGTCCAGACATAAAAAAAAAAAAAATCATTCCTACCGCTGGGTCACAAGAAGTGCTGCTGCCGCCGGTGTTGGTATTTTGTTAATTTTTTTTTTCTTTTTTACAACCAGTAGCTATTTACTTTGCATTTGACACACTCTTCTACAAGAGAAACTCCTGACGCCCGTCTTGACAAAAAACGTATATTAAATGCAGTAAATGCCTTTCTCTCTATGAACATCTTGCATTATTTAAATATAAATATGACTTGAAAACAAGCTGTTCCTACAGAGGATCCATTCCTAAATTGGAGTCAATGCAATAGAGACTGCTCATGTCAGGATTTTTTCTTGCCTAAGAAGACATGACTGTTCTTCCCCTGTTCAAAAGTTGCAAAGAACAGAATGGGGAACTATGCTGCTGTACAACCTGCTGTGATTTTATTTTGTTTAAGCAGGGGCATTGCTGTGTTCTTACTCCTTGAATTTTCACCCAGTTCTTTTATGTCCTTTGTTCTTTTTCTGATATCAGTTTTATACAATACACATACAAAATATATAAATATATATATATGTATATATATTATCTATTTTTCTTTCATTACACTTGGAGTGTGTGTCTGTGTAATCACTCACTGAAGTTAGTGACATTGAAGCTGACCGTTTTCAAATTGTACTCACATTTACGAGACAACTGTGTTTATAACTTAAAACTTTTATGTATTTATACTCGACAATTAACTGTTTAAAGTTACATTTAGATGGCTCATATTCTGCAGCCTTGCAAACAGTGAAAATTGCAGTTACGGCAAATGAAAGCTCATTTAAAACTATTAGTAATGCACTATTGTTAGGAATATGTGAAATGGATGTCATTGCAAATTTTAAAGCACACATTTAGTCCACCTAGAGACAAGTGTTGTGAAAAATTGGAAAATGAAATTGTATCAGAGTCTTTAAACTTTAACGTTTAACATTTAAGAGTTCATAAGTTTTACATGTAAACCTGGTACAGACACCACAGGTTTTAAAATGTACTGAATGATGGTAATGCTTTAGTGCTTTATGTATTCAGCACAGTTAACACCGGTTAATGTGATGGTGTGTTTCAGTCCAAAAGCCAAAACCAATAGTGTTCTGTTTGCATAAGTACATTTTTACATATTCATGTCAAATAAAATGCAAAGCATTATGCTGACCTCTTGTGGTAAATCTTCAAAACAATTTATACACACTTGAATCCGAGACTGGGTGATTGATTGTCATACGTCTTGTTTCCCATTTTCCCACGTAAAATCAAAAATGCCTTCGTCAAATAAGAGACAAACCTTTCTCTGGGTGAATTTAATACACAATCACTATATCCAGACACCTGATAGTCTTTTCTTTCATGCAAATTAGTAGAAAAAGATTTTTCCAATTAAATTGAAAGGATGTTAGCCGGAAATCTGGACAGATTTATTTGTGAGACAAGGCACAGCTGTCTTCCTGCCATTGATGTTTACAAAACTTAGTCCAGACATTTTTCTTTCCTCTTATAGTGAATATATTTGGCAACATCCAGAAGTTAAGTTACCTTCCACCCAATACTTTTATATGAATTGTACATATATATATTTATATAGATATATATAGATATATAAGTATATATATCTATGTAGAAATATATAGAGAAATATATATATATAAATAACTAGTATTATGATGAAAATGTAAGAACTTTTAGATTTTTTTTAACATGTCTGATTAAATAAGCTTTTAACACCAGCTTTGCCAGTCTACAAGCTACTGTTTAAATTCAGCCATGTAGAGAATAGGCTAGAATACAGAAAGGATGACAAAAATCAAATATGGTTTTAGTAACTAGTTTCTTTTTTAGCCAAATTAGCTTGAAAAATAAGTTTTTTGTAGTCTCACAGCATAGATTTGAGGCCAACTATTTGCCATCAATACTAACCTTGAAAGAGGACAGTAAATGGCAGCATACCAGTTATTTACCCTTTAAACTTGTCAATCTGCTCATATGTTTTGTATTTATTTCATTGATTTGTGTAATTGTACAAAAGAAGAACAGCTAAATTATTTTTATTTTGCATTTATTTACATGTTTTCTCAATGAACTACCCTTGTGTACAAATAAAACATTTTTCCGCCCTGATTGAAAAGAAAATATGGTCAATTATTCCTTTTAATAGTATTGCTGTGTTTTTATACCTCTAAATAAAAACTTTCTCAACACAATGTTCAGTTTTTGTTGCATTAAAGTTTCAGAAAAGTCCAATTTAAAGCTAGTTTATAACTACTTTGTACTTTTAAGTTAATAATGAAAGCCTTTCCAGAAAAAAAACAACAACAAAAACACATACACATTGGCACAAGTTAAAAAAATAACTTAAAAAAAAGTCCCTGAAAAGCTATACTTACATACAGAGGTTTAACCATAAAAATTGAGAAAAAAAGTAAAATGTATAAATGCTCAATAGTTGAAATGGCCCAAACTTTTCACAATAAATAGAATAAAAGGTTTACAATTACATATTTGCACACAGACCATACTGAGCAGTACAATTAACACTAATCAGTTTGTGAACACATTTCATGACCCTTGCAAGATGGGATAACATGAGCATTGAAATGAAATCATAAAAACTACACAAAAATATAGTCACAATAGAGAATATTCCTTAAGAAAAAAAAATTGACTTAATCTAGCTATCTATATGGGCTATTCTTTAGCATGCTGAGAAAATTAATGAGACGATCCAACTTTCCTCTTTGTAGACAACAGGTTTATCTAATTTATGCCTGCTATGGTGGATACAAAGGATAGTGAAGTGCAGTTCGAATTGCCAGCTCCAAAACTAATACGTCTTTGAAAAAAAGCCTTTCATTCGTCAGGAAACCATGCCGAGGAATGCTCAGCAAATACTTCAAACAAGCAGATGTGAGTAACGGTCCATGAAGTGCCATTCTCAGCCATTGCCGGCTTCCCCTGCCTCCCACCTAGAGTCACATATTAATCATCTGCTCTTTGAAACTGACATGATTCAGATGGAACACACTTCAGACAGCCAGAGAGGCTGCCATGGCGAGATGGCGCAGACGGAGTCGGCACTGGGGGACGCAGCTGAAAATCCGGCAGCTTGATTTAAGGGAAGCGCGTGGCTCCTGACTCGTGTGATGAAGTGAAGATGACATGTCATTTTCTAGATTATCGCAGCAAGATGGAGACGGATCAGATCTCTGCACATTCAGCGACAAAATTCAAAACTTAAAATTTCATGCACATCCTCTGATTAAAAATCATCATTATAGAAGCAGGTAGTCCCGTCTAAGTACTTGCGAGAATGAACCGCCTGTGTTCAACCCAGTTCTCCAAGTAATGCAACACAGCTTTTTCCCCAGGGAGTCAGAGGTAAAGGTGGAAAGGGCACCAACACCTGGGTCTCTTACTGGAAAAATGCCTAGAACTCATCATCTGATGTAATCAGCATGATTTTGTCAGACTTGCGAGAGCTCTTGTTGCCCATGGCCACTTTTCCATTAGTGCTGGGCTGACCTCCTGTGTGGATTGCTGAGTGTACTGCTGATAGGCTGGTGAGAAGTTGTGGATGGCGTCCTGAACCATGTCGCCTGGGTTTATGGTTTCCTTTAAGCCGCTGGAGATGCTCTGCATTGGGGGAAGATTCTCTGCAGAAAATAAAAACAATAAATAAAGTGTTTTTTTCATGTACAAAACTGTTGTTACTTTAGCATGGCATAAATAAGGTAAAGTAGGTGAAAAAAGAAACAAGAAACTTGTCACTTATCTGGAATCAGAAATATTATGGTAATTATATCTTTATATCACATTTAATGTGTTTGTTGCAATCTTTTGTTTTCTTTGCCTTCTTTTCTTGTTTTATTATTTGGGTTGTTCCTCTGTATCCTCTTAATCTGTGCTTTTCTCTGTTGCCACATTTCTTCTGTGTCCTTTACCAAGAATGCTCTGAAAACTGAAGCTTGATGTCCTAATGTGCAGTCACTGGCGATCTCAGGCCCCAGGGCTGCTTGTTCCTGATCTGTGACTGATGGTCTCTGCGGCCCATTCCTTCCAAACTGTCATGCCCAATGTTCATCTCTGCTTCTAGACATCCTATATTCATTATCATGCCAGCCCACTCAGCTGTAATATAACTGACAATTAGCAGTGACAGTAATAACGACTTGTTCATAGGATTAAAACAGTAATCCTTATGAGAACAATGTGCACCTTCAAAAGCGTTTCCATAATTACTACCTGAATGCTAGATATTTTCCCTTTATTTTATCCTCTGTCAGTCTCCTCCATACCATGCCTCACTTTCATGCATCATTTTGGTTGTACCCGGCATGGACGGTAATTTGCTTTATCTCTCTTTTCCTTTCCACCTCCCAGCTCCCCTTAGGCTCCGAGTATGTGAGCCAGTTTCTTCTGAAGGTTTACTCTGGTTAAATACATTTAAAAACGGTGCTTTTCCTTACGACTGTCTGTGGAGCACATCTAAACCGATGTTGCTTGCTTAGAGGTTTCATTGCTTTATGTTCTACTTATCACTAAATTATTCTGTTACAGCACATTGCAAAAGTGAAATATTCATAATTCCATTTAGATTTTCTACATTCTGTCACTACACAACAACAATAAAAAAAGCAATGACATGAATGGTTTTAGCAAAGAATGTTTTTGTATTAGAATGGCCCAAACTGTGTGGCAAGACTTAAAATTGCTCATCAGGGACAATCCGTCCAATTTAATCGGACTTCAGCAATTTTCCAAGGCAAATTAATTTAGTTTTCATTTTGTGTGTAGATATACTCCAAATGACTTGCAACTGTAATTGCTGGGAAATGCAGTTCTACAACACCTTGCACATATTTTAGTACAAACTAATTTTCTCCCACTCCAAAAATCAGATACTTATTTTGTTTTTTGGATTATTAACAAAAAAAATACAAAAATTATCATAGCATAAAGCTTTTTATTTTATGGAGGAGTTATGGTGCAGAGGGGCCTCGAAAAAACATGACAGATCTTTGATGGGGAGAGAATACTTTTGTAAGACAGCATAGAATAAATTATGTGTACTACGGCTTCAGAGGCTGCACAAAATTTTTTTTTTGTATTGAGCAAATCAAGGTACACAGCATCAAGAAAGCCACACTGTTGTAATCTGTGCAGAATGAGGTCTGCAGAAGCAATCACAAACCTAGACCAAGCAAAGGAATTACCATGACACATTTTATGGCGCCTGAAGACTTTGCAGCCCTTTACACCTAACAGTCATAACCTTTGCAGTCAGTTTTCTGAAGACTCAGTCTTTTCATTGTTGTGCCTCCCAGATGTTAAAGGAACGAACATTCTTTGTGACTTCACATAGGTTCTGTTCTTCTCCTTTTCAATAAATGCAACTCATGTAGTTGAAGCTCCTTTTAGATCCAACCTGGATACCTACACCATTCATATGACATGGATCCAAACAGAGCTTTTTGTTTAAAAAAACAAAACCCCCCAAAAAATCTCAACTTTTGTAGAAATAGACTTAACATAATTTAGGAACAGTTGAGATGTTTGCGAGAATCTCAAATTCTTTGATGTCTTTTTGTGTTCTCAGGGCATGCAATCAAAAGCATTTTTTACAGCAGTAAAGAGAAAAACAAACAAACAGCAATAAAACCCTAAGGTATAATTTTTCAAATGCTTTCCCCTTCATCTACATCAGAGCTAGAGAAATAAAAGCTTCAGTTAATGTCAACTATTCTGTCAAGCTTCGGAGAACGTGTCGGCTTTGCAACAATGTTTAAAAGGCCAAGCTATGAGCTAAAGGTCAGTGTGATTGGGCCAGCAGAACGAGATCACCAAAGAAATGCTGCTAGAAACACTTTCAAGAATGTCATTGAAAATGCGAGAAGGGCAATTACCCTGAAAACACGTCAATGTAGTTTATTTGTGGCGACAGGAGTGCCTATTTTCAACTAACGCAGCTCACCTGGCACATCGTTTTTCTTCTCTTGGTAGACGGTGCAGGTGAAGGCGTATCGGAGCGCAATGGCAGCAAAGAACATTTCGATGCAGATGATGAAGTTCTGCCAGCCGGCTGCGACGGTTCCAGCACCCACTTCATGTCCTTCGATGAAAAGTGCGTTGGGAATGACGCCGCACCGCTCCAGGAT